AATGTTTTGAAGAAATGAAATGTTTGAAATACTTGTATATTTTGGATTTTATAGTAGCTCTGTTTGTCTATATTAGTGGTTGAGAAGTTTTAATTATATTATAGGATCTTAATTCTTTCCTTAGATCTTAGGGCATCACATCTCAGCTTTACCGCTGTTGCCCGCTGACTACAATCCTTGGGCTGACTACAGTCCTTGGACTACCAATGCCTGCTATGATCCTCTGACTATCGTCGCCCATCAATTTTGGTCATCAGACTACCATTGTCTGACTACAGTCCTCAAACCATTGTCATCAATTATAATCTCTCCAACCTTTGTCTCCTACCAACTACAGTCCTCAAACTACCATTGTCTAACTATGATTCTCAGACCACCGCCATGTGATGCCCCAAGATCAAAATTAGAAGTATTGCATCTTTTATCTTCTTATTTAAACCAGAGCTTACTATTTCATCCATATAATATAAATAATGGAAAAATATAAATACATTACTATTCATCCAATATTTATACATTGATTCAAAACCCAAAATAATATATACAATAATGATGATATTCAAACAACACATCACTAAAACATATCATAACCACAAAAAAGATAAGTCATTAGATGTAAGAAGAAAAATCTAAGCTTGTTGCCAAAATTAACCTCACTCCACTAATTATTTACTCTTTCCTAAAATATATAAAAATCACATAATGAGCGCAAATGGAAAACAAGTTATAAATATCTACAACTAAAATCAATGCACAAAATATGACTAATATGCAAAAAAATTATGTTCATATAAATAATAACTCATCACATAAATTCTTTCAATTTCTATATCAAGTAAACCATTCAATTCAAGTATGTAATATATCATATTCCTATAAGTACAATATCAATCTTGATATATCAATCATAAGTCATTTGCCTATTATCATTCAATCAATCATCAGTTTTATTTATCTTTTATCTCATATTTATCTTATCCATCGACTTTCTCTCATTAGCTATCTATTATATATATTAGCTATCATCTGCATCTATCTTATTTATCATTTGTCTCATCTAGCATGTATTGTATCTATCTTCTATCTTATTTATCATACATAATTTGCCATTATTCTCATATGATTTGTATTTTTCACTCTTCCTCTTGTCTTTCTAAATTGCTTGTGAGAAGATCTTTAAAGAAGATCTAGTTCTCCGCTGACACTTGGAGAGTGTGAAAGGACGACGATTCTCTGTCGACACTTGGAGAGTGTGAACAGATGACGGTTCTCTTCCAACACTTGGAGAGTGTGAACAACATATGGTTCTCTACTGACACTAGGAGATTGTGAAAGGATGACGGTTCTCTGCCGCAGTGGGGATTGGTGAAAGAGAGTTTTGTAAAGGGTTATCCGCCTTGCTTTGGGGGCAAAAGGAGAGACACTTTTGATAATAGTGCAATACTTAAAGAGGGAGTCTTCAGGGAGTGGATGTAGGTCATGTTTGGCCAAACCACTATAAATCTTTGTGTCATTTAAATTTTCGCATTTTATTTACTGCAAGTTATATTCTATTGTGGTTGAAAATTTTATTTTCAAAATTATCAATTAACTTGCTATAAATCTTTAAAGGTTTTCATTTTTAATTAAATCCAAGAGTACTTTAAAAATTACCAATTCACCCCTCCTCTTGGTTAGCCTTAGGACATTATCTTAGATTTAACAACCTAATCTAGATTCAACACCACCCATCTTTCATAAAGACTGGATAGCATGGATTTAACACGCTTAGGTGGTTAGCTGGCTTTTCTTTTCTGGCAGGATATAAGCTCAAACTGCATTAGTTAGGACACGGGTGTTAGTGTTGTGTGTAGAACACTAAACCTACCTTAGATTTAGGGTTCAAGGCTACTACTATCGGAGTTTGTAGTATGCCTCATCGATGGGTAAGTCTTCTTTCTTTCAGAGACTATAAATCATGTATATCCGCATCATATGGATGACGTCACCTCCATCGTTCTCTTTGCTTGCTTTGAGTGTATTATTTTCTTTTCTCTAGTTTTCTCCCATTACCCCAATCCCTCCGGATACTGATGTGAGCCGTATATGTTGACTAAGCCCAGTTGAACCCTTCTTTCTATTTGAGTACGACTTCCTAGTCTCCTACATATGTGCCAATCCCACTTGAAAGTATAAAATAGGATCCTTAATCGAGAGTTTTCTCAGGCCTTGGCTTGAGATGTAATTAACCATGGAAGCTTGTACTTGTGTGAAACTGAATCCCACTATCAAATAAAATTCCACTCTAACGTATGTATTATGTGGGGGAAACCCGTTATTTCGATCAGGTTATGTATATTATTACCTATCAAGGTGTATTGGTGAGAGCCTCATATTGGCTCACTCGTAAAAGAGCACAAAGGCCTGCGATCGTTTTGTCCTGCGGGGCAATGCGGACACACTCTTTGCATTATGTCCTCCCGCATCAGTGGTGTCCATTCGGAGGTCCACAGGATCCCGGTCTTTGGGTTGGCCTTTTCGATGTTGTGTCGCTCTATTTGTTGATGATTGTTTGGGTTCTGGATTGGTCAACGGGTTCAAGTGCTGGTGGTTGTTTTTGTATCTGCTGTGTTGGTTATTTTTGCTAGCTGTTACTGACACCTCGGTTCTTCTGTTCTCGGATGGGCCCTTGGAGCTCTCTTTTGGGTCTTTTGGTTTGGTTGCTATTCTCAGTTGCTGTTGCTTGTGCCTTTTCATTCAGTTGTTCTCCTTCTGTAGTTTGATCGCATTCATCTATTTCCAATCTTTGTTCTTTTCTGTTGGTCTGTCCTTAGGCCTTTTCTATTGTAATTTATCCTTTTGATGTAGCTAGTAAGGGATCTTAAACTCCTTTGGATGTAGCTCTTTGAGTATTGCTGTCAAAATTGGGTCACGAGTTGGGTTTGGGTCCAACCTGGAACTGACCCGAGGTTGTTTGACCAGACCTGAACCCGACCCGTTTTTACAAACGAGTTAATTTTTTGGACCCAAACCTGACCCGCTTCAAGTTTGGGTCAACCCGAACCCGACTCACATATTTCAATCGAAAGCAAAATGACAGGAGTTTGGTCGCTATGCTATTCGGCTTTGTTTTGCCGCAGGAGATATGGAGATTGCACGAGTCGCTTCTTCGGCTCCTTCATTGCATTTCGAATTTTCTCCTTCGACAACTTTATCGTAAGTTATAACATTTTGGTTGGAATCAATGACGGGAGCTCGCTCGCTATGATTTGTGAAGGTAACTTTCTCCCTTTCATCGTTTTCATTCGACTTCATTACGCCACAACCACAGGAGGTATGGAGATTGTACGAGTCGCTTCTTCGGCTCCTTCATTGTAGTTTGACTTTGCTCCTTCAATAACGTTATCTGAAGTTACAACATTTTGATTGGAATCAATGATGGGAGCTCACTCACTATGAAGGTAACTTTCTCCCTTTCGTCTTTTTTGTTCAGCTTCATTACACCGCAAGAGGTGTGGAGATTGCACGAGTCGCTTCTTTGGCTCCTTCGTTGCAGTTCACTCTCTGTGAAGGTAACATCATCTTGATAGGAAGCAATGAAGCTCGCTCGCTGTCAAGCATGGCCAAATCCCGTAAATACGTTGAACTATAGTATTCCGGGTCATTTTCGAGTTTCCAGGTCGACCCGAACCCGATCAGAAATTCGAAATGGGTCGAAAATCCGAACCTGAACCCAAAATTTCGTGTCGGGTTTTCGGGTCGTGTCAAATATTGGCACCTCTATATTTGAGCATTTAATGAGTTTTCAATCCCTTTTTAAGGACTTCGTATCTTTTTTTCATATTAATGCGTAAGCCCTTTGTGGGTTTTAATAATAATAATACTAAACTTAATTTTGTCTTGAATTTGAAGAGGAAACTTATAAATAGTTTTGAATAAGATTTAAAATTTGAGGAATGTTTATACTGTGCTTGAAAATAAATGAATAAATTTAATCAATATTCTACTCAACTTAATTTAATTTATTTATAACCCTAAATATTAACCAATAATAAAATGAATTCAATGGCCTATAGGGTTGTAAATTAGCCTAGTTAATTTGACTTGAGTTCATTATTTGTTCATGTTTAACTACTTCAAAATTTTGTTTGTTAAGAGTATGGTCTATCCTCTAAATTATTCGTGAATAGTATGTTTGTGTTTGTTTCATTTGTTCTTATGTGGCTTAGGGTTCAAATTCATTAGCTTGTAATAATTAAAAAATTTTAAATTTTATTTTTTAAAAAATAACTCATAAAAAATAATAATTTGTTATTAAAATTTTTTAATTTCAATAACCAATTAAGTTTAAAATTTGACAACCAGCAATATAATATGACATTATAAATAACAAGTTCATTATTAAAAAATAAAATAAAATTTGCAATCAATAATCTTCAATATATATATGTATACATGAAGAATTGTTGTTGCAATTTCAAAAGAACTGGCCCTCCACCACAAACTCATTTTTCGTAATTGGATTACATATTTATATTATTAGAATCAAATATATAATTAGTCATGTCTTGAGGGGCAGCACCTCTTAAGTGGGCCCAATCATGAACGGACTAGGAGGTTTTTGGGATGGGTGCCTCTTCTAAGTCAGTCAAGATTAGTCACGCCGCCAAACACTCTTTTGCGGATGGCAGCGGGTGAATATTCCTCATTCCAAAAAATAATAATAAGAAAATAATCTTGCTTTTGACATCAACTTGAAAGGAAAACTTATAAAAAAAAAAATTTAAATAAGTTTGAATAAGATTTAAAAACTTGCTCCTAACACTATCATTAAAATGTACTAACAAGATAGTATTTATCTGAATAATAAATAAATCAATAAAGAAAATCAATGTGGAAGTTGATGAAAGTGCAAAAATTTTAATGATGGCCTAGTGGCATTTTATAAATATAGATAATTAAAAAGAAATGAAATTCATGGATTAAAGATGAATGATCATTCAAAATTCATTTGTTCTGCAAATTCAAAAACATAAAATAAAAACTAAGCAATGATTCAATAATTGTTTCAATAAGAAAAAAAAACTACTTAGATTTCAGTTGTACATGATCAAAACATGTAGTTTCTGAAGGGGAGAGACTCTAAGGGTTCGAGACTTTTAAATTCCAGCTCAGAAAGAGAAGACCTAACATTGAGAAACCAGTACTGCTCCACCTCATTTGGAAATGAAACCAGCACATCATCATCCCAAATACTCAGCCTTTTTAAGGAGGCGATACTTCTCAATGGCTCCATTAGCAACACCGATGTATCACTTATACTGAGATTGTCGAGCATGAGATGGCAATTATTAGTGATCTCCACATCTCGATATCTTCCGAGAGAGATCAGATTGGGGCAATTTGTAATTGTCAAGTATCTTAGACCATCTCCAACCGAACGTCAAACGGCATTTTTTGGTCGCTCCAGCCGAACGCCAAAACGTACGCCATTTGCTTGCGGGTGAACAGTGCAACATCAATATTGGCGTTGCACTGTTCACCCACGCTATTTTGCTCTCTCAACCGGAAAAACGCGCCAAAGGAGAAGGATCGTTACCTTCGCGAGAAGCAAAAAAATGGCGTTCAATTGGAGCAGCACCACGCCATTTTTGCATTTTACAGTATTTTGGCGTGAAAAATGGAGTTCTCCGTTGGAGATGCCCTGCAGCAAGTTTTGCTATTTCATCAGCTAGAGAAAGAGAGGTGATGTTTTTACAGCAAGAGACCTCTAATTTTTCAAGGGGAATAGAATTTGAAATGCTACAAAAATTTGAAGTCTTCCACCCCGTTGATCGTATCGGCAAGCTCTTGAGCTTAGAAGGCAAAGAGGGCAACTCTTTCAACTTCGGGCAGTTATGTAGCCTCAGTTGAATTAAGGAAGGAAGCAAACATCCATCTTCAGCAGCTACTAATGCTATTAAGAAGCTAATATGTAAAACCTCTAGCAATGGAAAGGCATGGTATTTATCATTCCCATTAAATTTACTTTCGAGCCATTTTACCTTCAGCATGTCATAAAGCGTCAGTGATTTGAGAAAGGGAAGTTGCCCAAAAGGTGGAAGAGTTTCACACTCCAAGCATTCTCTCAATTCGATCATCTCTAGATTGAAGATCAGATTGAGATTGTTCATCCATATTGCAGGCTTTGCACACATGTAAGAATATATGCTCAGATTCTTTAGATATTTTGGTGGCTGAAGGTTTTCGAGCACGTTCTCATCTAAATCGATGTTCCTCAAATCAATGTTACTCCAACATAAGGTTAAATCTATGAGCCTCCTCTTGGTACATAATTTTGCACTACCAGTGATGCGGAGCATGTTTACACCGGAGGTCCTACCGGACAACTTATTTTTTATAACAGACTTTGGCATTAGCCACTACTTAGTTTCTATGTTCTACAGTATAGTACTAATACCACCTTTTAGCTTGTTACACTCTTTTTAGTACAGCTCCAGGAGCTACATACAGGAGAATAAAAGGAATTGTAGAGACAGATTTTGATAACCAAAAAAATACAATACAGCAACTTGGCTGTCTTCCTTCCTTTCTCCTTTCTTTCTTTTGTTTTCTTCCTCTTGTTTTCTTCCACTAACATACTTTGCAGGTCATCTGCCACCGGCCTTCGTCACATCCGCTCCAGTTGACGATCGACGCTGCATCAGATTTTGGTATCAAAGCCAAGCGACTGGTAGAGGAGAATGTCCGAGCGCGGCAAGGATCCCGCCTCTGAGGAGGTCCAGAACTTAGATTCTTTATGGGGAAACCAAAATAACATCAGTCACCGATTAGATGCATTGGCCGCTGATGTACAAAAATTGACAGTAGAAATGCGCCGCGAGTTTAATCTCAATAGGGCGAGATAGCACGAATTACCCCCGCATCGTACAATGCCGCATAGAGGATTGGCCATCGGCCGCCAATTTGGGTCGCTTCTGCATTGCAGCCAGAGATGTCGGACTCCGAAGGTGAGTCGGCGTTCTATCCAGGAGCAGAACCCGCAGAATCAGAAGAAGACGAAGAAGCACACCCCTATCGTAATGAGTTCGCAAGACGCCGATGACCAATGATTCAACACCAACGACCGGGTGAGTTCAAGATCAAGATTGATGTCCCCTTTTTTGATGGACATCTTCATATTGAGGATTATTTAGATTGGGAAAAGGCCGTAGAGAATTTCTTCGATTATAAGGAGATAGAACCCGACAAGCAGTTGAAGTACGTGGACTGTCGACTGCGAGGAGGTGCTAGTGCCTGGTGGGTGTAGACATTACAGATCAGACAACGAGAAGGCAAAGGTCAGGTTCGCAGGTGGCACCGCATGAAACAGTTACTCCGAGCCCAATTTCTACCTACTGATTTTGAGCATTTCTTGTACATGAGGTATCAACATTGTGCATAGGGAAACCGATCCATAAGTGAATACACGGAGGAGTTCAATGCGTTGAGCGCCCGAAACAACTTAAATGAGTCCACTAACCAGTTGGTGGAAAGATACATAGGCGGCCTCAAGGACAGCATCCAAGATAAATTGGAATTAAATGCTGTGTGGTCCTTAGCACAAGCTGTCAATCTAGCTTTCAAGGTCGAAATACAGCAGAGCAGGCAATCAAAAACAAATACACCCAGACGTCAATGGCAAGAACTGACTAGCGGGACGGGTAGATTACCGTCACAGTCAGTAAGGACAACCCAACCCCCTCTATTACCAACGCCCACGTCGGTTCCTGCGAACATTACAACTAATCTACGACAGCCCGTGAAACCAAGACCTCAAGGTAAGACAATCCTTATGCTAAACCTTCAACGCTCAAGTGTTTTCGTTGTTTTCAGCCTGGCCACAAGTCCAACGAATTCCCACAGCAGCAACAAGTACACCTAGCGGAAGGATCGGAGGGGGATGATCATGGGAATGTGGAGTTAGACGAAACAGATGATGTGGTCGCCGATGAAGGGGAGCCGTTAATATGCATTCTCGAGAAACTTTTGTTGGCTCCAAGGTAGAACTTGAATTCCCAACGGCATGCTCTTTTTCGGACGCGTTGCACCATTAGCAGCAAGGTTTGTGACCTTCTCATTGATAGTGGGTGCACTGAAAATATAATATCCAAGGCAGTGGTACAAAGCCTCCAGCTGAAAACTATCAAGAATTCAAACCTGTACAGCATAACTTGGGTAAAGAAAGGTATAGAGATTGCGGTCACTGATTCGTGCAAAGTGACGTTCTCTATTGGCAAACAGTACGTTTGCAAGGTCGTCTGCGATGTCTTGGATATGGACGTCTGTCATCTGATATTGGGTAGGCCATGGCAATACGATGCTGGCGCCATCTATGATTGTCGAGCTAACATCTATTCCTTGGATTATAAAGGAAGACGATTATGATTGTTACCCCATTTTATTGAAGAAAAAAGTTCAAGACCAGCCCAAGTTAAACAGGCAGCTATACATTTGGTTACGGGTAGCCAACTGCTGCAGAGTTGGCGTGAACTTGCCCCACTATTTGCTCTTATGGTCACCGAAGTTACATCAGGAATCACACCTGCAAGCGTCAACAAGGATATCTCCCAGCTCTTACAGCATTATAAAGAGCTTATTCCTGATGAACTCCCAGCCGAACTTCCACCCTTGTGGGATATCCAGCATTGCATAGACTTCGCCCCCGGGTCTAGTCTCCCTAACTTGCCGCATTATCGTTTGAATCCCAAGGAGCAGCAGATACTCCAAGGCTTAGTTGACGACTTGATTGAAAAACAGCTGATACAGCCCAGTATGAGTCCTTGTGCCGTGCCGGCGCTGCTCGCACCGAAGAAAGACGGGAACTGGCGAATGTGTGTAGACAGCAGAGCTATCAATAAAATAACAATTAAATACAGATTTACTATGCCCCGGATTGATGAGCTAATAGATCAGCTCTCAGGATCTTCCATTTTCTCAAAGTTGGACCTCAGGAGCGGCTACCACCAAATTCGCATTCGTCCCGGAGACGAATGGAAAACGACATGCAAGACGCCGCAAGGATTATATGAGTGGAAGGTCATGCCCTTCGGCCTATGTAATGCTCCGTCGACCTTCATGAGGATGATGAATGAAATACTGAAGCCGTTTTTTGGGCAAATTCTGCATTGTGTATTTTGACGATATACTCATGGCAAAAGCACTTGAATCATTTAACAGTCCTCTTTGATGTACTCAAGCAGCAGCAGTTATTCATCAACCTCCCCAAGTGCGAAGTAGGCGTATCGCAGGTTTATTTCCTTGGGTTTGTCCTCTCAACTGACGGAATTCGAATGGACCAACAGAAAATACTAGCCATCACCGACTGGCCAATCCCACAGACTTTCTCCGACGTCCGAAGTTTTCACGGTTTGGCAAATTTTTATCACAAATTTATCAAAAACTTCAGTTTGATAATGGCACCTATCACTGATGGCCTCAAATCCAAAGTTTTCCACTGGACCGAAGAACAGCAGCAAGCCTTCGACAAAATCAAAATCTGTATCAGCTCAGCCCCTATTTTGGCACTTCCGGATTTTGATAAGTTATTTACGGTGGATACCGACGCTTCGTCCATTGGCGTGGGCGCTGTTCTGTCACAGGCGGAAAGACCTGTAGCATTCTTCAGTGAGAAATTATCTCCAACAAGGAAGAAGTGGGCAGACTACGAGCAAGAGCTCTATGCCATTGTTCGTGCCTTGAAACAATGGGAGCAGTACTTACTCCACCAGGATTTCATCCTCTGTAGCGACAACAAGGCGCTCTCTTATATCAACAGCCAAAAGAACATAAATCGTATGCATGCCCAATGGCTAATGTTCTTACAACGGTTTTCCTTTTCAATAAAGCATAAACCTGGTGTTGTCAATCGAGTCGCCGATGCATTAAGCCGGAAGCGCAGCTTACTAGTTCAATTACAAACCCAGATAACCGGTCTAGAATGCCTAAAGGATCTCTATGAAGAAGACCTGGACTTCGGGGAAATCTGGAAGCAGTGTCAAGCTGATCAATGTATTGCCGAGTATTCCGTCCGCCATGGATACCACTTCAAGAAGAACTTGCTGTGCATCCCCGTCTCATCATGGAGACAATAATTAGTCCGAGAATCTCACGGAGGGGCTCTCGCAGCTGACGCCGGTCGAGATAACACACTTCGCCAACTTCAGGTGCAATTTTTCTGGCCTCGGCTACGCAGAGATGTCATTCGTTTTGTTGACAGCTGCCCCGTCTGTCAAATATACAAAGGCGGAGCTCAGAACACTGGATTATATATGCCTCTACCCGTCCCGAACTCGATTTGGGAGGATCTGAGTTTGGATTTTGTGCTGGGATTACCGAGAAATAAGCGGGGAAATGATTCAATCATGGTGGTTGTTGATAGATTCTCGAAGATGGCACATTTTATCTCTTGTAAGAAGATTACAAATGCCATGCTTATAGCTCACCTTTTCTTTCAAGAGATCGTTCGTCTTCATGGCCTTCCACATAGTCTCACTTTCGCCGTGACGTCAAGTTCATCAGCCACTTTTGGCGCGAACTCTGGAAATGCTTGGGGACGGAAATCTGATTAAGTTCGGCATACCACCCACAGTTTGATGGTCAGACAGAGGTGGTTAATCGTACATTGGGGACGATGTTGAGATGCCTAGTTCGAGAACATCCACGGCAATGGGAGGAGGTTCTGGGCAAAGCCGAGTTTGCTTACAATTCCATGACTAATCGTACCACCGGTAAAACTCCATTTAGTATTGTTTTTACTAAATCTCCTAATATTGTCCTCGACATTTCTATCCTTCCGAAGTGTAAATCAATGGCAGCAGCCACATTTATAGATAATTTCGTCGATATGCTCACTAAGGTGCGCCAACAAATTATGACATCCAACCAGCACTATAAGGCTGTCGCAGACGCTCACCGTCGACATCGTGTGTTTAATGTTGGGGATCTAGTTCTGGTACGCTTGCGACGAGAATGTTTCGCACCGGGTACTTACTCTAAACTTTCTCGCCGCAAAATTGGGCCCGTACCCATTACTGCTAAAATTAATGATAATGAATACACCGTCGCCCTCCCGGATGACTGCAATACTTCGCCAACCTTCAATGTATCGGACATTTGGCCATATACGCCTCCGGATGATGGAGTGATTACCATTAGCTCGTCGGAGTCGAGCTCTTCCGAACCGGGGAAGAGCTGATGCGGAGCATGTTTACACCGGAGGTCCTACCGGACAACTTATCTTTTATAACATATTTTGGCATTATCCACTACTTAGTTTCTATTTTCTACAGCATAGTACTAATACCACCTTTTAGCTTGTTACACTCTTTTTAGTACAGCTCCAGGAGCTACATAGAGGAGAAGAAAAGGAATTGTAGAGACAGATTTTGATAACCAAAAAAATACAATACAGCAACTTGGCTGTCTTCCTTCCTTTCTCCTTTCTTTCTTCTGTTTTCTTCCTCTTGTTTTCTTCCGCTAACATACTTTGCAGGTCATATGCTGCCGGCCTTCGTCACATCCGCTCCAGTCGACGATCGACGCTGCATCAACCAGCCTCCTCAGCATCCTTAGCATTTTCAAGGCAATTGATTCCTAATTTGCAAAGATCATTCATATTCTCCAGCTCCCCAATTCTATAACCACTCACATCTTTTAGATCAAACATATTCAGTATTTGAACAGACTTTAGCTTCCCAATCCCACATATCGATGAAATATAATTCTCAGGCAATTTGACATAATGCAAGTTAGAAAGGTTATTCATGCCACTTGGTAAAAATCATCAACTTTAGGTTGGCTTAGCCCTAATGGCCTATCATAGATTATGCATTGCAAGTGATAGGGATTACTTAGAGATCTTGGCAGCATGGTCAAATTACAATTATCAATCTTTAAGTATCGAAGATGTATCAAATTTCCAATATCCTCTGGTATCATTTTCAAGCCTGCTGAAACATGTATGTATAATAAGCGTAGGCTTCTCGATGCTTTGAATATTTTAATAAGTGCATTGCAATGATCCTGATTAGAAGCTTCATAGAACATGAAAAGAGAATGCAAATATTTAAACTGTCCAATCTTTTTTATGATGTCTGGATTTGTAGTTTGAACAGACAAGTGTCGAAGAGTCTTATGAATTATAGAAGGAAACTTTGTACCATCCTCAGCTCTTAAACATTCATGTATGGAAACTGATTGTGCCAATTCATGTATTAAATCATGCATCTTGTAATATTGTCTAAAACAATGTTCAAACTTATCAAAGAAAAATTTTTTAACCAAAACATCAAAATACATTCCTCCAATATCCTCCATAGTCCATTCTTGATCATGAGGTTGCTGAATGAAACCCAATACAATCCACATTTTGACTAAATCATCTTTACCAAATATATAATCTTGTTCAAATATAGAACAAAATGCGAAACAATTTTGTAGATGTTTTGGGAGGAACATATAGCTCAATCTTAAAATGGGAAAGATGCAATCCTGACCCAATTTTGGACTTACAAAATCACTATTTAAAACTTTTGTCCAATGTCTTTCATCCAAGCTAGAATTCAAAACACCACCGGTGACCTTTGCAGCCAATGGAGATCCTGAAAGCTTTTTAACTATCTCTCGAGCAATGGATATTAATCTTTTATAATCATTAGGATTATCTACATCAGCAAATGCATGAGAGTTGAGGAGCTACAAACACTGATCTTCCCCCAAGCCCTCTAATCTAAATATTTCCGTCTTCTTTTTAATGACCTTTGCAATCATCATTGCAACCGAGTCCATTTGAGTTGTTACCAAAATTCGACTACCAATTTTCCCATAAGCCAGAGAGGCGAACACCTTCTCCCATTTGCTGATATCCTGGTTCTCCTCCTCCTCCCAAATGTCATCCAGAATAAGTAAGAACTTCTTGGACATAATCTCAGTCCTAAGACTATTTTGAAGTGCATCAAGTGATTCGTCCAAATGAGGCCTCTTCTTCTTGAGAGTTGATAACATATCTGCAATGACTTTTTTCACATCAAAGTTGTTGGAAACGCAAACCCACATTTTAAGATCAAAAAATTCCTTCCTCATTTCGTCTTCATAGACGTGTTGCAAGAGAGTTGTCTTCCCCATACCACCATGGCCCACTATAGATAGAAGAGAAATGTTTCTGTCCCGATGTTCATTTGATGGCTTCCTCAATCACCGCTCAACAGACTCCTTATCCTAGCCCCGCCCAATGAGATCATTTGTAGTTGGCAAGGATCCTGTTTCACGTGCTTTGTAGAAATCAACCTCCTGCTCCTTCTGTTCCTGCTTCACGCTGTCTAAAAGACGAAGGAAAGTAGTAACTGTTAACACACTCTTACATTGTACCTCCAGCACACCGCAACACATCATCATCAACCATCAACAAACCTGACACTGGCGCTCCCCACTTTCTCTGCCATCACTGGCGCCAACGGCTCTGCCGTCAACAACCGAAATATATCATGAGCAAATGTGCTCATCTTACTATATATACAGCACCATTGTAATAGCAAAGACTATGGCTTGAATACACAAGATGAAGCAAACACATTCTTAAACTTAGCTTCTCTGTTTTACTGTTCATCTTCTCTAATTCTCTCCTTGCAGGAAAGCTTTCATGGTATCAGAGCAGCCACTCTGAGGTCGATTTCACTCCGGTGCCAACATGACAGATCCCTCAGTAGCTTAATCCTCCACCGGCGCGTCTCAACCCGTCGGCACCCAGACATCACCAATGGCGATCGAGATCGTCATTCCTCCCTTTCTAAAGTTTCTAATGAACAACCTTAAACTTATCATCTCAAATCAACTCACAAGCGATAACTATGCTATCTGGCGTCTTCAAGTCTTCCAGCTCTTCGCGGCAAATGGCTTTGAAGGCCATCTAACCGGAACTTGCCCGAAGCCACCTATCTCTCTCACTGAAGACAACTCCGACGAACTCAAGCTATGGAACTTGATTGACCAAAACCTCATATCAGCCCTGCTGTCCACGATATCGCCAGCTATCCTCCCATACATTCTCACTCTCTCCACTGCGAGAGACATCTGGATCACTCTGGAGCTCCGAATTCAACCCTCTAACAGATCACGAGTGATACAGCTCAAAAACGAGCTGTATCATATCCAGATGAGAGACCTCAGCATGAACCAATACCTTGCAAAAATCAAATCGTTGTGGACAACATTTCAGTTGCAGGATCCTCTCTAGATCTCGAAGAAATCATACTCCATATACTGAATGGACTCCCACCATCGTACAATCCGTTCAAAACATCCATCAGAACCTGCCAGCTTCCCCTGAGCTTAGATGTAATGTACAACTTGCTCTGCAGCGACGAGATTCACCTTCAGACCGACCTGCGCCGCGACGGCTCCACTACACAAGATTACACAGCTCTGTCCACCAACCGCAGCACCGCCCCACGAGGTCGCTCTGCCTACAGAGGCTCCAGGGGTCGAGGAGCTCCCTTCAGACCAAATAACCCCACCAACCGCAGCGACGCCACCAGACCGACATGTCAAATATGCGGTAAGCTGGGCCACATTGCCTCTTCCTGCTGGCATCGCTACAATGAGAACTACATTGCGTCCTCCAATGTCTCTCCTAAGGCCCTGCTGACAAGCTCACAACCAACTTCTCTGAACGAGTGGGTTCTCGACTCCGGCGCATCCACACATCTCACCCCCGACCTCAACAATCTGTAGCAGTACTCACCTTACACCGGACCGGAGACCATTTCCACCGCTAATGGAAGCTCACTTCCCATCCATCACACTGGACAGGGCCTACTACCTCTTCCCGACTCAAACCGTAAGCTTCACCTTCACCAACTTCTACATGTCCCAAAGCTCTCTCACAATCTACTCTCAATTCATAAACTCGCCTCTGATAATAACTGCTCTATCTCTTTTGACTCTCATGGATTTCTCATCAAGGATCTCAAGGACAACCGCCCCCTCATCCGTGGTCGCAACCGTAACGGCCTCTATGCTATTCCCGCACTCGCCATCGCTCTTCAATCCATGCCATCCAACTCAACTCTCTGGCATGCTAGTCTTGGTCATCCTCACCTTCAAACTCAACACCGTCTGTCACGAATGTTCTCCTCTATCAGTAGTACTGCTTTTAATTTCATCTGCCAGTCATGTAACGCGGCAAAAAGCCGCAGACTTCCCTTCCCCTCCTCCCCCTCCCGTGTAACTCAACCTTTTATGTTAATACATTCCGACGTCTGGGGTCCGGCACCCCTATCTTCTGCCAATGGATATCATTTTTACTTAATATTTATTGATGATTATACTCGTTTCTCATGGATTTACCTTATGCATCACAAATCTGAAACTATATCTAATTTTCAACATTTTCATAAACTTATACAAAACCAATTTAAAACTAATATCATCACCTTCCGCTCGGACGCTGGAGGAGAATACACCAGCTCGGCCTTCAGCTCCTATCTCGCTAGCCACGGCATAGCACATCAATTCAGTTGTCCTTACACCCCTCAACAAAATGGCATAGCTGAACGCAGGCATCGTCGGCTCCTAGACACCACCCAAGCTCTCCTCCATCAATCTAATCTTCCCCATAAATACTGGGCTGACGCCCTCACAACCTCCAACTACCTTATCAATCGCTTACCCACCACAGCCTGTAACAATGCCATTCCCTACACACTCCTCTATCACAGGCCACCCGACTACATCTATCTAAAAACATTTAGATGCCTCTGCTTTCCCTGGCTCTATCCCATCACCCCATCCAAACTTCATCCCCGCTCTCAACCATGCGTCTTCCTGGGATACTCCTCCTCTCACAAAGGCTACAAGTGCCTCAATATTCAAACCAATAAACTCCACGTTTCCCGCCACGTCCAATTTCACGAGACAAGTTTCCCATTCATGCCACCCTCCCCTCCAGTATCTACCTCACCATCCTCTCAAGACACCAATCTACCCCCATCACTTCTCCTACCCATCACCACTCCACTCATGCCAACCCCAATTACTAACACCACTGACATCAACTTGTCACACACCTCCTCCCCACCACTACCTTCCCCAAGCACACTTGAATCTCCCAGCCCAACTCACTCGTCTGTTTCTCTCATCCTTCCACCTCCCTTGCCATCCACACACCCTATGCAGACACGACTAAAGGATGGCATCAAACGGCCCAAACAGATCTTCAATCTCCTTACAACTCCATCCTCAGAACTATTACCCACCTCCTACTCTCAAGCCCTCAAATCCCCTCACTGGCGAGCTGCCATGTCGGAGGAATTCCTTGCTCTACAAAAACAAGGTACTTGGTCTCTAGTTCCCCCACCGCCTCACTTGAATGTGCTCGGCTGCAAATGGACCTTCCGTCTCAAACATAAACCGACTGGTGAGCTCGATCGCCATAAGGCCAGACTTGTCGCACAGGGCTTTGGTCAGGAGTTCGGTATTAATTTTCACGAAACATTTAGCCCTGTGGCTAAAATTCCCATTGTCCGTGTACTTCTACTCATCTCCTTACAACATCAATGGCCGGTGCTGCAATTCGACATCTCGAACGCATTTCTGCACGGAGAACTACACGATGAAGTCTATATGCTCCAGCCACCGGGCTTCATTGATCGGGATCACCCACAGCATGTATGCAAACTCCATAAAGCCCTCTACGGCCTCAAGCAAGCCCCTAGAAAACACCAAGTTCACAAATTCACTCCTCAAATTCGGTTTTGTCTTCTCCAAATCCGATCCCTCCCTTCTCTGCTTTAACAAGAATGGAGTTCACATCTTTCTCCTTCTCTACGTGGATGACCTTCTCGTCACTGGTAACAATTCAGTGGCCATTCAAGAACTCACAAGTCATCTTGACCAGGAATTCTCATTCAAACAGCTGGGCCCAGTTCGCACTTTCCTCGGCATTCAGGTTCTTCAGCAACCCTCAGGCCTCCTGCTGCACCAGGCACCATATGCACGGGACATCCTTTGCTCTGCTGGTCTTCAAAACAGCAAACCTGTCGTGACGCCGATGCTCCCTACCTCCCCAGCTCACCTAACTGATCAAACACCCTTCGCCGATCCCACCCTATACTGAAGATTAGCTAGCTCTCTCAACTATCTCACCATCACTCGCCCAGACATCACCTATGCCACCAACTGCATCTGTCAGCATATGCAACATCCTACCAATGATGACTAAAAGGCTATGAACGCTTGCTTCGATACATCGGTGGAACCCTTCACCTTGGATTACCACTCTCAGCCGGCCCCTTGCAGCTCACCAGTTACTCCGATGCAGACTGGGCTCGTGATGCCACAGACAAAAAATTCATCACCGGCCACTGTACCTTTCTAGGCAAAAGTCTGATCTCGTGGTGTGTTAAAAAGCAGGCCACCGTTGCCAGATCCTCTACGGAGGCGGAATACAGGGCTCTAGCCGCGGCCACCACCGACGTCTCTTAGAGGATTTTCAAATCTCCTCACTCCCGCCAACGCCCATTTACTGTGACAACACCTCAGCTCTCGCCTTAGCTCTCAACCCAGTTTTTCACGCCAGAACCAAACACATCGAGATCGACTATCAGATTATCCGCCAACACATTCTCACCGGCGCAATTCAGGTGAAACACATCAGCACCACCGATCAGCCGGCAGATATTCTTACAAAACCTCTGTCTATAAACCGATTTGAAGAACTCCGATCCAAATTCAGCCTCCGCTCCTCGGATGCTTCATTTGCGGGGGGATGTTAACACACTCTTACCTTGTACCTCAAGCACACCGCAACACATCATCATCAACCATCAACAAACCTGACACTGGCGCTCCCCACTTTCTCTGACATCACTGGCACCAACGGCTCTGCCGTCAACAACCGAAATATATCATGAGCAAATGTGCTCATCTTACTATATATACAGCACCATTGTAACAGCAAAGACTATGGCTTGAATACACAAGATGAAGCAAACACATTCTTCAACTTAGCTTCTCTGTTTTACTGTTCATCTTCTCTAATTCTCTCCTTGCAGGAAAGCTTTCAGTAACATCAGCTGAAACTTTATCAAGTTTCTGCACAGCCTCCTCTAGTCGCTTCAAGTTGGGATCTCTTTTGATAACACGCTCGCCAATTTTGAGAATTTTACAAGGAATTTCATATAGGAAACTCGTGAACTTTCTTTTCTGATCATATTAGTTAGACATAAATTATCAAATAAATAAATAAATATATTCGAGAGCAGAATCAAATAGGAAGCACGCGGTGGTGGAACGCACCTTTGTTTCTTCCGTGTTTTTGGTCAGCTGCTCTTTATGCTTCATGTACTCCAACTCATCGATCACATCATCTGCCTCATCAATAGCATCTCGCAGCTGTCATATCCATTTGTTGATAGGGTGGTTCTGATCACTAATTTGTGCTTGGTTAGCGCGGCAAAGACGACAGCTTGGATCTTGGGGTGGTTCTCTCGCAGCCTTTCAAGATCCTCCTTCATGCCTGTCTGCCTTCTGAATTGATCTTTAAGGTAATCTTTAAAGTAATCTTTACTGTAATCTTCAAGGTAATCAGAGCAAGTGTTGATGATCTTGTCCATGATTGGACCAACAAACCATTCCGCCATTGCCCCAATGATCAAGGTAGAGAGAGCAGAACAACTGAATGGTAGGAGAATCGGAAATTGATTGGAAGAGATGAAGATTAGATAGTCTCTAATAACTGAGAGAGAGAGAGAGAGAGAGAGAGAGAGAGAGAAAACGAAGCTACGACTGAAAGGCCTAGTTTGATTCCCGGCTCTGTTTTCTTGTTTTTAACGGAGCTTTTAAGGCCTCGTTTGATTTGCGGGCCCTATTTCTGTTTTTTGAGAAGCTTTCAGACCGGCAAATGGAAATTTTTTTTATCCAATCAGCAGAATATGGAGGTTCACTGGAAATTATTTTGAAGAAACCGTGTTACCAAACTGCAAAATAAACATTTTTTCGCCGATTCAAATCTCAGACGGAGAAACAAACGAGGCCAAAGTCTTCGTAAGTCAAGTAAACGGAGAAAAAGTGAGAGAGAAGATGAAAAGCCGATGCGTAGTTGTAAGTTGACGTCTGAAAGACTCCATTTTAAAATAAGAAAACATAAAATAAATGAGAAGTTTTATTTTTGATGGGAATAATTCTTTTTATATAATATAATTGAATAAAATTGTAAAAACTTTATTAAAAAATCTTCATATGATAAATGTGTGATTCACAAATGATTAATTTGGATAGTTATATAAAAACCTATTAATTTGGATAGTTATATCATTTATTATTTTAGCAGGTTTTAGAGACCTATTAGGATTTGTAAGCTTATTATTATGATTTGATTGATTTTGGGTTCGAGAAAGAGACAAGTAGAGTAAGATTAATCAGAGTCAAAATTATAAGTTTTTTTAATTATTTTATATTTTTATTTTATTCTTTTGTAACTAGAAAGGCTATTACAGATTAATAGTTTTAGATTGAACTTATGATTATTACATATGGATTTTAATTGGTGATGTATATAGACAGATGACATTATATATATACACACACAGACATCAAGTCCTGGATGAAAAAAGTTAAGGGTTGTGTTAGGTAGTTAATAGCCATCATAAAATGTCGAATAATCATGACATGAATCTTTTAAAAAATTATGTTAATACTTGGGCGGCCCTTGGAAGAGACACATTATATGACCTAAATACAGTGACAAGTGTGTAATGGCCATTGTACTGGCGATCGAGTGCAGTGTTAAATATGCAAGGGTTCCCACATTAAGGATGGATGTGGGCAAATAAGTTAGTCCATGAAATTAAAATTATGATAAGAACTTGAAATATAGGCTCCCTTATGAAAAAATTAATGGAATTAATAGATTTTATAATTCATATGAAGATAAATATTATATGCATTCAGGAAGCTAAATGTGTTGGAGAGAAGGCTAAGGAGATTAAAAGTCTATGATTTAAACTATAGTATTCGAGTAGGAGTCATACTAGAAATGGGGTAGGTGTGATCATAGATAAGACTTTGAAGGATAATGTTATAAAAATTAATAGAATTTGAAATAAAATTATAGCATTAAAGATTATTGTTGATGCTAAGAATATTAATGTTATAACTGCTTATACTCCTCAAGTAGGTTTTGATATAGGTTCAAAATTAAAATTTTAAAATAACTTAAAAGAATTAATACAAAAATATCTCCAGAAAAAAGATTTTTTATTGGAGGAGAATTAAATGGACATGTTGGTAGAGAGGTAAATAATTTTAAAAGTATTATATTGACCATGGTTTGGAACGACAAATAAAGGTGGTAAGACCATATTAAATTTTTTTTAGCTTATAATTTTTTAATTGTTAATACCTTATTTAAGAAAATAGATGAGCATCTCATCACTTATAAAAATGAATATAGTAAAGCTCGATTGGTTATTTTCCTATAAGAAAAATAAATTATTTAGATTTCAAATATTGTAAAGTTGTTCTGAGTGAAAATTTATGTACCAAATATCGATTATTAGTTTTGGACTTTAAGATAAAGGGAAAGAAATAAAAAATAAATTAAAATGATATTCTAGTATTAGATGGGGAAACTTAAAGAATATTAATAAAAATATTTTTGAGAGTAATATTTTAGATCTTAAGATTTTTTTTTGTGCATGAGGATACTAATGTTATGTGTGAAAAGGTGGCGAGTGATATTAAGAATATTGTAAATGATGTACTTGAAGTATCAAAGGAAAAAGTTCTTAATCGTAAAAATAATTAGTGGTGAAATCCAAATATTCAAGAAAATATAAAAAATAAGAAGATTTGTTATAAAAATTGATTTATATGTAAAAATTCTAATAATTTTGAAAGATATAAAGATGCTCATAAGAAATCTAAGAAAGCAATATGCGATGTAAAGATTTCAGCTTTTAATGATTTATATAATATATTAGTTACCAAGGAGGGAGAAAGATATATGTATAAGTTAGCCAAACAAATAGATAGGAATAGTAAGGACTTAGTACAAGTGAAGTGTATTAAGGATGAAGATCAAAAAATTCTTTTCATAGAAGATGATATTCAATAAAGATGGATGAGATATTTTGCAAAACTTTTTAATGAAGAATGTGAAATTACAAATGACTTTAGTGACCTTAGCTCCCTAAATAAAAATAAAAATTTTGTTTTTATTGGAGTATTAATAAAATCAAAGTTAGAGAAGCTTTATAGAAAATGAAGTGTGGAAAAGCTATTTGACCTAATGATATTCCAACAAAGGAGAGGAAATACTTAGGATATGAGGGAATTTCTTGGCATACTAAACTTTTTAATACTAATTTGAAGACTAAAAAGATGCCAGATGAGTGAAGAATGAGAGTATTAAATCCTATTTTTAAGAATAAGGTGATGCAGAAGATTGTGCAAATTATAGAGGAATTAAGTTTATACTTTAAAATTATGGGAGCGAGTTATGGAGCATAGGTTGTGGCGTAATACTAATGTTTCTCAAAATCAATTTGGAGTCATGTTGTACTATGGATGCCATGCATTTCTTAAGAGGTTTGATGGAACTATATAGAGAGAATAAGGAGAATCTACATATGATATTTATTGATTTAGAGAAATCATATGATAAAGTTCCAAGATAATTACTATGGAGAGTTCTTGAAAAGAAAGGAGTTAATAATGCTTATAGATATGTATGCTTGAGCTATTACTTTTGTTCCAACACAAGGTGGCTTGACTAAGTATTTTCCTATTTCGGTTGGATTACATTAAGGATCAGCTTAAGTCCCCCTTAAACTTAAGAGAAAATTTTATAAGATGGTGGTGATACCTACAATTCTTTAGGGTGTCGAATGTTGGCCAATAAAAGAGAAGCATAATACTAAGTGAAGTGTTGCAAAAAAGAGGATGCTCAACTGGATGAGTGGCTTTACCCTTAGATATAGGATACGAAATGAGCATATACGTGAAAAGGTTGGAGTAGCTCCAGTGGAATATGAGATTAAAGAGAGTTTCCTTAGATGGTTTGGTCACATAAAACGGCGGCCTTCCGATGACCCAGTTAGGAAAGTAGAGGTAATTGATTTGACTTATATTAAGAAAAGTAGAGGTAGACCTAAAAGACTTAATTAGAAAATATTAGAAATGGTCTTTCTTTATGAGATTTAAATGAGAATTTGACTTTTAATAGAACACAATGGAGAAAAAGGATTCATGTAGTCGACCCAATGTTGTGGGACAAAGGCTTGATGATGATGATGTTGTATTTTAATTAATATAAGATGAAATTATTGACCTTTGTAAATTAATGAATAGATGATACAAATTTATTTTAATTTAGATCTCAGGTCATTACAAGTAATATCCTAAGACTTAGGGGAATTTGATAAGAAAAAGTTGTTAATTCCAAATTATTTATATAATATTATTTTGTGCCTTTAATCCTTTTTTTTCAGAAAATAATAAAAAATGAACCAGCGCCATAATGTTATAAAGCTAGTGATGCAATGCCATAATTCAATCCAGCATCACAACGCCACCCCTTCAATGCCATAGTGGATGGCTCTCTGAAATCAGCTATAGAGCTTAGCATCGAGGAGCTATCTAGTCAACACCGTAGCACCACAAAGTTAGTATTGTTGAGCCAAATTGCCCAGTGTTGCAGTAGGAGATGATTTCAGCCGGTGAACTCATGTGACAAATGTTGATCCAACAGGGCAGCAATGCCACCAAGCTAGTGTCGTGAAACTAGTTCAGTTATTTAGAAAATCTATAAATAGTTGTATAGTCTTTATGTAAAGAGGTTGGCACATTGTGGAGTAGTTGTATGTGTGTGTGAGTGTGAGGATCTATTCTTGAGAGGGAGTAGCATGTATATTTATCTTTGGAGTTTGCACTAGTGTGGATCAACATTGAGAAGTGCAAAAGAGTTATATCTTAATTTTGAGTCATTTCTAAACTTTGTTTCACATTGTTTATCTTATGCTTAAGCTCATAACTTAATGTTTATTCAGTGAAATAAAATATTTATGTTGTGTAACATCGCCTCTATCTGTAGCTAAATAATTACTTTGAATCTATAATTATTTGAAAGACATTTATTGCTTAGAGCAGATTTAATCTTTAAAGTATTCATATTGTTTTTAATTTCTTCATATTTTAATTTATTTATGTATAGGTCGTTCATAAATTAAAAACTTAGTGTGGTCTAGAGATTTGATGGAGGAATAGAAGAACAATTAAAGATTTTAAAACATAGTATGATTATAATATAGATATATAATGATAAAGATTATGGGATCTTAAGGAGATAGAAGAACTGTAGTAAGGAGGGATCCTAACTAATGTTCCAATAAGCTTGACAGAGATGATGAGTACTTATGCTCCGATTTAGAGTCACAAAAGGTAAAAAAAATCATTTTAATACAATCATGTACTTCTAAATATCATAAGTTCAGAACTTCTAAAAAATAGTGACTTTTGTTTATGCGTTTGGAGCTTTTTAATTTAATATACACCACCCAATTTAAATCATTAAGTTGGATAAATTTAGCAATTTAGTTGGTAGTACTAAAGTGAACTTAGGAAATTCTAATTTGATCCCCATGGGATTGATATCTTCTCATCAGTATATTACTTTACATGATATGTACACTTGCCTTAAATAGGCCTTACACTGTAGCAAAATTAAACCATTTTTAGAGACATCAATAGTGAGTGTAAGCTAAAGCACAAAGTTCTGCAACATTTGTAAAGCTAATAAAATTAAAAAAAGCCTATCAACTGGTTAATAATATGTTTGATTAAAAGATGCACGGTTTTGAAAAATATAATTTTCTTTGGGAAAATATCAAATTATGAGATTTTAGTTCTTAAATCGAACTCTTTATTATGAATATTATATCACCTTGGGACGCGATAATATCATTCCATAATAGGTTCAAATTATAAAGCTTTGAATTCATCATGATTATCGTAGTCAAAGACAAGAGCGAATCACATAGGACCCCGGAGGGTCAAAATAAAATTTA